ATTCAATGCCAGAAGGAAGTCTACTTAAATATAATATTGGAACAAATTATTCACTGATCTTGAAACACCCAGAAGAGTACAACATAATGCATGTTAACTTTTTGAAGGTGGGGGAATTTGGAAAAGCAAGAGAGCCCTTTCAGGAGCCCTCATGCTTCAATATTTAGTTCAATTCAATTCAAAAAGTATTTATTTACTGAGGCTACAATGCACCAGGTGCCAGGGTTACAAAGACAAAAATTAAACAGATCCTACCCTCCAGTAGCTAATTTGCTATTGAAGGAAAATAACATGGACAAAGGTACATGAAAATATGTGCACAGTAAAAATTTTTGGTGGCTTACTCTGCCTATATAAGGACAAATCTTGGCCCTGACTAATTACCATAGCAACCCTGGTAGGTTCAGAAGCAAATTAACCAGGTAGTGATCTACTTGGGCTCTTTGTTTATCTTCTATTCCCCCTTTGTCCCAATGCCTTTTGGACAAGGGTCTGCTGGAGCCAGCTTGAACTATTCACAACAGCTGTTAGTTACATTTTTTTTGCTTTTTTTTTTTTTGGTGAGGCAGTGGGGTTAAATGACTTGCCTAGGGTCACACAGCTAGTAAGTATCAAGTGTCTGAGGCCGGATTTGAACTCAGGTCCTCCTGAGTCCAGGGCCAGAGCTCTATTCACTGCACCACCTGGCTGCCCCAGTTAGTGACATTTTTAATATGAGCATTTACATCTGGGAAATAGGCAAAAGCTACCAATGAGGGCTTGATTTGTTGTTTTCTTTTTGTCATTCTCTAGATTTCAGAAAGTGATGGAGAAAACGACGATTAAAATTAAAAGCATGTCTCGTATACTTTTTTTTCCTTCCCCACTTTAACTGATTGTTAAACATTTACCAACAGACCCCTGCCTTGGGACCCTTTCACAATTCTTTGATAATTCCATAAGAAGGAAGGGTGGGACTGGTGAGAAAGTTACCTTCTAATTTAGAAAACCTTATTTTTGTGAATTGAGTTTTCAGATCATTTTCTGAGTGGAAATTTTAATGAAGGTATTGGTGAAGAGAGTGCAGAGGTACAGAAAGGTTGGACAACAAAGATGGGAAGAAACACCAATTAGGGAAGAGGTTACCAAAAAGGGAGACCAGAAGTATTGAAGAATTTCACCTACTTTAAAATTTTGCTCTAGTCTAACTTTCTGGTGGGGCCACTAGGAGGCGCCATAGTGCATAGAGTGCCAGGCCTATCGCCAGGAAGACTCATTCTCCTGAGTTCGAATCAGGCCTCAGACATTTACTAGCTGTGTGACCCTGAGCAAAAATCACTGAACCCTGTTCGCCTCAGATTTCTCATCTGTAAAATGACCTGGAGAAAAAAAAATGGCAAACCACTCTAGTATCTTTGCCAAGAGAACCCCAGATGGGGTCAAGAAGAGTCAGATATGACTGAAAAACGACTCAACAACAGACTTTCTGGTCAGATACTGGTTCCCTCCTTTAAAGCTCTCCTGAGAAAACTATGCTAGCTATCCATGAATATTTAAACATCTTCCTGCCCTCTGCCCCTTTTGTCCCACAGCACCCACCCTCCTCTTTTGGTGGGGCAAAAGAATAGCCTTCCGATTTGCCTCTCTTCTTTTGATAATACTTTGAAACGTTCATTAAGCTCACAGGTGGCAGCAGAATGTGAGAAATTACAGACACTTTGTAGCATAAAATATTCATTGAATCCACATGGTTTCAGAACCTATAAAGTAGGGGCTGCTGCCTGGAATTGCCCGTCTGAGTGTTTGCCTATGAGAATAAAGGACAAACAACAATAACAGTTACAGCTCCTGTATGGAGCAAGGTGGGCAGAGACCCTGAAGCATCTCTTGCCCTGATCACTCTGCCACAGAGCGAGGCAGACAGCGTGGGAGAGTAGCTAGAGTTGAACCTGGAGTCCGGAAGCTGTCCATTCACACTAAGCCTGCGCCCATTTTAAATATGTTTGTTAGTTAACAATGAGCAAATCCCTTAACCCCTCTGAACTTCAGAGAAGTTTCAAATGAAACCCCCTGAGTTTCCTCATCTGTAAAATGGGAATGATGAGAATTACATCTATATCATAGGCTGGCTATGAGGAACAAATGAGATCATGTGTGTAAAGTTCTTTATAAAGCACTACACAAAAAATAAACAATTTTCATTGCTGATTGGCTGGCTCAGAGAATGGGCTTCTTTTCTAGTCTTGCCTTCTCTCTACCTTCCATCTTCTCCAGAAAATCAGGGAGAGTCTGATGAACTCCACTCCTAGCTATAATGATCATGGACGTTTAGGGTCATTTAGTCATAGGGGAATTTAATGATGTCAAAGAAATCTCTCAGCTCCTAGAGGGGTGGCAAAAGGACTATGAAATTTTTGTTGTTCAGTAGTGTTCTAATAGTCACGACCCCATGGACCATAGCACACCAATGTTGTCTGGGAGGTTTTCTTGGCAAATCACTTTGCCATTTCTTCCTCCAGTGGATCAAGGCAAACGAGGTTAAGTAACTTGCCTAGGGTCACACAGCTAGCAAGCATCTGAGTCAGGATTTGACCATAGCACACCAATGTCGTCTGTGAGGTTTTCTTGGAAACGGACATTAAGTAACTTGCCCAGGGTCACACAGCTAGTAAGTGTCTGAGGCAGGATTTGAACTCAGGTCTTCCTGACTCCAAGCCCAGTGTTCTATCCACTGAGCCACCTAGCTGCCTCCAACTATAAAAGTTAAAAAAAAAAACAGGTTAAATGGCTCACAAAATGACCCTGGAGATGGGGTTTCTAACCCTTCAAACCAAAACTGGACAGAGTTGATGCTTAGCTTAGTTGATAGCCCTTTAGGTTTGCTAAGTGCCTTTATGATCTTTGATCTTCATAACAGCCCAGTGATGTATGTTTGCGGTATGACCATACTCATTTTACAAATGAGAAAACTGAGATTCAGAGTAGTGAGGGGATCTATCTGTCCATGGTCACAGAGTAGAACCGAACCCAGGTCCCTCCTCTCTCCAACTCAAGAACTCTTTGCAATATGCCACAAAGTTTCAAATGACCATCAAAGATTAGAGAAATTTTTCATCCCGAGCAAGATGAAAGTCTGTAAGAACATAGCGCTGGAAAATCCACTAAGGAAGAAAAGGCTAACTGTGCTGACAGTAGCTGAGGGGGTTCCAGCGTAGGCAGGTGCTGGAGAAGCAGAGGCAGCTCACGGTGGATTACCCTTTAGTACTGGAATTGTACCCAACAAAGAGATATTTAACTGTATTAATAGGAATAAAATATGTAAGAGTCTGGAAGCAGTCCCAAAGAGACCACGCATTTGTTATTATTTTTGAGTGCCACGTTTTGAGAGAGAAAAATTGAGGATGATTCAGATAAGAATAATAAAAAATGATTAGTTAATTTTAAAACTAGGACTCTTGGGACGGGACAAAATGGTCATGATGGAGCAGAAAGAGTACTGGATTTGGACTCAGAGGACCTGACTCAACTACTTACTATCTGTGTGGCCTTAGACAAGTCATTTCTTTGGGTCTCAGTTTCCCCCTCTGTAAGATGAGGGGCTTATGGTATCTCTAAGGTCTTTTCCAGCTATAAATCTTATAACCTATGATCGAAGTTAAGCAAACTGGAACTATGTAGTGTAGAGAAAAGTGAAGGGGTAAAATAATGACTGGTTTTAAGTGGTTCCTCAATTTCAGTGTTATACAAATGTCAGGTATTATTATCATTTTTCTTCCTGAGAAGGACGCTGACTAGTATAAGGCAAGACTCTTAATAGACTATTAGAGCTGAACAGGACCTTGGGACATCAACTGGTTCATCTCCTTCAGTTTACAGAGGAGAAAACTAAGACCCGGAAGGTGCAGAGAGCTGCTTGAGGGCACAGAGGTAGCCAATGCAGATCCAGAACTGGCACCCAGCTCTCTGGAGTGCTATCACCATCTGGACTCCATCCTTTAGTTCTCACACATGCATTAAGGCATGCATCTTGCCTGTAACTTGTATTTTATCTCATACAGTATAACTGTTGAGAAGTGGCCCGAATGTTAAAGAATCCTTTAGATTGTTCTATACATAAACCAGTCATGCAACTTAAACTCTCAGCACCCTAGGCAACTAACTTTCCAAGACCCTAAGTTATATGATAGGTACAAATCTGCACTGGTGAAGGGAGTTTTCCTAAAAATGAATTCCTTATACTAATGAAATCATAGAGTGTCAAGGAAATAGATAGATGCCCAGATAATGCTATAGATGAAAAAATGAATGAAAATAAACAATTTTTAAAAAATTAAAATGGGTGTTCAGCACCAGTGATACCACGTTTTATTCATTCTATTGAACCATTGGATCAGTTTGGTGTCCTCATCCAAGTTTCAGGAAGTATAAGTAATACATGGAAAGCCAGGGTTGGAGTCACAGAGATCTAGATTCAAAATCAGCCTCACTCTGATCAGCTGTGTAACCAAAGGCATATCACTTAACCTCTAAGCTTCCTCCTATGTGAAATGAGGGTGATAATACCTGTTATACCTATCTCACAGAATTTTTGTGATACCCAAGTGCAATAACGTATATAAACCATTTTATAAACCTTATAGGTCTATATAAATGTCATCTATTATTATTATTTCTGTGTTACCTTGGGCAAGTCACTTAACCCTGTTTGCTTCAGTTTCCTCATCTGTAAAATGAGTGAGAGAAGCAAATGGCAAACCACTCAAGTATGTCTGCCAAGAAACCCCAAAATAGGGTCATGAAGAGTCAAACACAACTGAAAAGAATGAACAGCAACAATTATTATTGCTAATGTGGTAGTCCTGAGACAAGAGCAGCTAATGGGAAGGGCTTAAGAGAATGCGTTGGTATAATGGTATGGATGGGGGAGAATCACTATTTTAGCCTTCAGAAATGCAACATGTAAGAAAGGAAAGGATACTTTGATCATTGAAATAATAAGCTTTCTTGGCCTCTCTTTCCAGAGTGGAAACAAAATTCTGTGTTCCATCATTCTGAGCCATCACGAGGGCCAGTCCATCATCAACTACGATGATGAGAATGGGAAGACATGTGTGCACATTGCTGCTGCAGCAGGTTACAGCGACATTATTAGTGAGCTGGCAAAAGTCCCAGACTGCAACCTCCAGGCTCTGGATGTGGATGACAGGTATCCATGGCAACACACCAAAGGGCTGTAAAGTGTGACCCACATCTCAGGATATCAACCTGGAGACGAGTGTTTTTATTGACTGATCGTGTTTTATTAGATCCGGGGTGCCAATAAAATTCACATGCAGGCTGGTGATGGGAATAATTGTTCTATTTCTGAAAAAGGTGTAATGTGGAGAGAAATTGCTAAGTTTTCATCTTTTAACCAAACAATATGAGTGGTCTCAGGCCATTTCCCAATCATCAAACATTAACTGAACTCATGCTTCCTGCACTGTCTTTTAATTTGCTTTCACAAAGATGACTTTAGTTATGTCCTGTCAGTAAGACAAACATAGAGGCAACATTGATGTGAAAAATGGACCAGATTTGGATGCTGGAACCCTAGACACCAGGCTGACCTCTACCACTCATTGGCTACGTGCAAGTGGATAGAGTGCCAGGCCTTGAATCAGGAAGACCTTAGTTCAAATCCAGCCAGATTGTTAAAAGCAAATAAGGGATAAAAGGGGATGAAGAAGAACCAATTGCTAGAAGCACTTATTTTTTTTTTCTCAGAAAATAGGATCAAAGATTCTTTAAGGATCCAGTTTAAATCCTCATTTTACAGATTGGAAAACTGAGGTCCAGAAAGATAAAGTTATCTGAACATATTTCTTCTGACTCTATTTCAAGAATTTTTTCTGATTCACCATGCAAATATCTATGACTGTAGTAATTTTGCTTCTGCTACCAATTGAGGTTGTTTCTGGAGCAAATCTAAGCAAGTCTTATCACCAGAAAGGGAAGACCTGAGTATCTCCACTACAGGATTCCTTGTCCTCTTGTGGCAATCGCCATGCTTCTGGTTACTCAAGGAACATTTCAAATGCCCTCCATTTGGTAGGAAAAATGAATACATTGCCAAATGTATTGCCAAATTTATATTGCCAATACATGGCAGACGTTTGAAAAAGTGTTTGTCCTATGTAGTCCTTTGTGTATCAGCCATTCTCAAAAACTTCCATCCTCACTGTTTTTTTCTTCAAGGACACCTCTCCACTGGGCAGCAGCAGCAGGAAAGGCTGACTGTGTCCAGCTGCTGTTGCAGCTAGGCACGGACAACAGCCCTCGGGACATCAATGAGAACACCCCTCTGGCCTATGCAATGCGCTGTGGACACACAGCATGCATCAATCTGCTCTCTCAAGAGAGCAGGTAAGTACACCTAAGAGGTATTTTCTTAACTCCCACAAAGAGCTAGAATTTTTCCCTTTAGATCTCTCTTCATACTTAGCCCATCCTTCTGCATGTAATAGCTATGTGACATGTTTCTTATTGCATTCTGACATGATGAAATGATTTTTCCTCTCTTGATAATATGAAAGATCAGCTACATATTACTGTTCAACAGATAAGAGAGATGCTCATTACCAGGTAGTCCACTGAGCAACAATTTGGGGGGGTCACAGCAACTGTCTTTTTTCTTTTTGTTAATTTATTTTGATTTATCAACAACTACTTCCATAAGCTTTGGAGTTTCTAATTTTTCTCCCCTTCCCTCCCTACTTCTCTCCCCAAGACAACGTGCAATCTGATATAGGCTATACATATACATTCCTATTAAACATATTTTCACATTAGTCATGTTGTAAGGAAGAATTAGAACCAATAGAAGGAACTACAAGAAACAGTAAACAAAACAAAACAGAAGAAAAAAAGAGCAAATAGTATGCTTCGATCTGCATTCAAACTTCATAGTTCTTTCTTTGGATGTGGATAGTATTTTCCTTCACGAGACTTTTGGAGATGTCTTAGATCCTTGCATTGTCTAGAAGGGCTAAGTCTATCAAAGTCAATCATCACACAGTGTGGCTGTTACTGTGTACAATGTTCTCCTGGTTCTGCTCACTTCACTCAGCACCAGTCCATACAAGTCTTTCCAGATTTTTCTGAACACAGCAACTTTCAAGCCAGTCTTTGGGATGTAGAGGATAGAGACCTGGCTTTGAAGCCAGAAACACCTGGGTTCAAGCCCCACTTCTGACATATATTGACTGTGGGACGTTGGTCAAGTCTTTAATTTCTCAGTGCTCTGGAGTCTAGGCAACTCTCCATAGTCTACACATTACAGAGAAGGTATTACCCTGGCTTAATAGAGGGAATTTCTTCACTAGGAAGTTTCTTATATCAGTGAAATCACAGACCCAGTCCTTCTCCCTAGCAACTATCTGCCACATTACAGAAGGAATATAGATTTAGAGTTGGAGGAGACTTCAGTGGTCATCTAATCCAACTGCCTCGTTTTATAGAGGAAAAACTTAGGTCCAGGAGGGGACCAGTCATTTGTCCAAAGTCCTACAGCCAGTGAGGGCCAGAGCTGGGATCCAAACCCAGGTCCTCTGAATCTACTGTATCATTCCATCACACTGCCTCATGAGTCACATTCTGCACTGGTGAGAGGAAGGATGTACTCACAGTAATGAAATCACCGATCCTTGAAGTATTTAAGTGTTTAATTGACAGTTAATTAAATGCTCTACCGTAGAGTATTTTTCCTTTCATGACACCTTTTCGAGTTTCGGTAGTGTTCATTGGTGTTGCATGGCATGATGGCATGTGCAGTGCAAAGTGTGCATATTATGTGTTCAGAACCAAGGCTGCAGTTAAGTTTTGTGATGCAACACAGGCAAGCACTGCCAGAAATACTTCAGATTTATTACATGTTTGATTTTGAGTTAATTTTTGGTTATTGTGCATTCCAAAACCTTTTACTGTTGCCAATCTCATATGGGGTCACAACCCACAGTTTAAGAAGTGCTGAATGAAATAATGGTACCAAATAATATCCCATGTGGCACAGCATACATTGAGCTCAATGTTCTTCTTTTTTCGTCTTTTTTCTTCTATCTCCTCATTAACTTCCTTTTATTACCCATACATGTATCTACACATGCATGCATGTATATACATGTTTTCATGCCTGAATTAGTTCCATTAATAAGTTAGGTACTGGAGACATATTTTATGCTTTAGGATAATCTGACAAATATTTATTAAATGGCTACTGTATGCAAAGTACCATATTGAGTGGCACCTTTTCAGTCTTGTTACCCCTTACACTCTGGACCCCTCCTCCATGCACTCTGTAATCCAGTGACACTAGCCTCTTTCCTGTTTCTCCCACAAAACACTTCATCTCAAAACTCCAGGCATTTTCCCTGGTTGTCTCCAATGCATGGAATTCTTACCCTCCTCATCTCCACCTCCAGGCTTCCCAGGCTTCTTTCGAGTCCAAGCTAAAATCCCACCATCTACAAAACGCCTTTCTGGATCCCCCTTAATGATAGTGCCCTCCCTCTGTCAATCATCTCCAATTTATCCCACTTATAGCTTTTTGTACATAGTTTTTTTGCTTCTTGTCTCCCCTATTCAACTATGAGCTTCTTGAGATCAGGGATAGTCTGTTTTGTTTTGTTTTGTTTTGTTTTGTTTTGTTTTGTTTTATTTGCTAGGCAATGGAGTTAAGTGACTTGCCCAGGGTCACAGAGCTAGTAAATGTCAAGTGTCTGAGGCCAGATTTGAATTCAGGTCCTCCCAACTCCAGGGCCAGGACTCTATCCAGTGCACCACTTAGCTTCCCCGACAGTCTTTTACCTTTCTTTGTATCCTTAGTACTTAGCACAGTGCCTGGCCCATAGTAGGAGCTTAATGAATGTTTATTGCCTGACTGAAACAGATACTGAAGTATAGTACAAAAGAATAAAATGTAATTATAAAGATAGAATGATGATTTAGCTCAAGCACTCCTCCTTCCCATTTTAAAGAGGAGAAACTAAACCTCATAATGGGAAGTGACTTGTTCAAGGTCATGGGAGCATTTAGTCACAAAATATGGATTCAAATGCAGGTCTCCCAACTCCTGGTCCAAGGTTCTTTCTACGGCTGTGCCACCTCCTACTTAGAGCAAAAAAGCCAAGTTACCCATCAAACATTAAGGCAAAATTTCATCAGAGTACAACAGAGATGACAACCAAAGTCCCATCAGGCACTTCTGTATCCAGTAGAAAGGCACTAGACCTCAGTAACAGGGGTTTTCAATCTCTCTAAGATAAGATGTTGAAATCTGCCACTGAGGTGTGAGTGCAAATCAGTGAACCAACTAATAAATATTTGTGAAGGGCCCACTATAGGCTAGGTACTCTGCTAGGCACTAGGGATCCAAAGACCAAAATGAAGCAGTCCCTGCGCTTTAGGACTTTACATTTTATTGGAGGAAACAGTGGTCCACATATATTAGGAAATACACAAACACAAGGTAATGTGAGGGAGATGGCTCTTGAGCTGAGTTTGGGAGGAAGCTAGAGTTTCTAACAGGCAGAGGTGGAGAGGTACACACCAAGCATGGGCAACAACCCACGCAAAGGCACAGACATGGGGGATAGAGTGTCGTGTATGCAGACTAGTCAGATGGCCAGTTTGACTGGACTGAAAAGAGTGTATGGGGAGTAATGTGTAAGAAGCCTAACAAGGTTGGCGCCAGGTTATAAATTGTTTTATATAAGTATATGTGTGTGTGTGTGCATGTATATGTGTATATGTATATACACACACATACATACATGCACATATACCTATCCATACACATGTATATTTATATATTATGTATACTCACGTGTATACACATATATATATGTGTATATGTGTGTGTGTATGTGTGTGTGTGTATATATATGTGTGTATGTATATATATGTGTGTATATATATATATACGTCAGAGGAGTTTGTATATAATCCTAGAGGAAATAATGAGGTGGTACAGTGGATGAAGAATTGGGCTGGAGTCAAGAAGACTCATCTGGGGACCTGTAAGTTTTTGGCTCTTCCCAGGTGGTATGATCTAGGGAGAAGTATGTTTACTACTCTCCTGTACTGTGCACTGGTTGTGAGTGACCACAAGCACTCCTTTCAACCCTGGAAGTGTGGGCAGGTTCCCTGCTCCCCTGTGGCTGCAAGCTCTGCTGTGCTACTGCTCCTCCTTGCACTGGGACTGCGACCCAGGACTACAACCCAGACCCAAGTACAGGGACACCTGTCAATCTCCTTTTGACCTGTTGCTTGATCCCCTTACTGTCTGTGGGCTGAGAAGTCTGGAAACTACCTCTGTTGCCACTGATTCAGTCTCCCCAAGACCTGCTCCTTGTTTGCGGGGGCCCGGTCTGTGCTGGTATAGCCTTTACTGGACTGTGCTCCTCTCTCACCCTGGTGCAACAGACATTTCTTGCTGACCTTCTAAGTTGTCTTGGGCTGGAAAATTGCTTCACTCTGTCTTTTTGCTGGTTTTGCTGCTCTAGAATTTGTTTAGACTCATTTTTTAAAGGTATTTGGAGAGGTTTGGAGGAGAGCTCAGGCAAGTCCCTGCCTTTATCCCACCATCTTGACTCCACCATCTTGACTCCGCCTCTCCCCAGCTCTCTTGAAAGCTACTTTTAGGCACTTCTATCACCTTGAGGTATAAATGGCAATAAGGAGTGTGGTATCCTGAAAAGAGAACTGGATCTGTAATCAGAAGACTTGAATTTGAATTCCAGCTGTTACTTATCTTGTATGACATTAGTCAAGTTACTTTGGCTCCCTTGGCCTCAGTTCCTCATCTATAAAATAAGGGGGTAGACGAGATAACCTTTAAGGTCTGTCTCAGCTCTGACACTCTGTGATTCTATATTATTCCCTAAGAGAAGAAAAGCTTAAGCTGAAGGGATAAAACTGCAAGGGTAGAATTTGGCATTAGTTTGGGGAATCTTTTGGTAGAAGAGAGACCAATGCCTTCCTGGAGTTGCTAAAATCACCCCTCAAGCAGTTAACATCTTTCTTTATGTTCACAGCTGGCCCTGGCTAAGCCACCAGATAGCACTGGAAGGGACATGTTTGGGGTATATTGTGGGAGATTGGGAGTAGATGCCAACTGGTCAGCAACGCAAATCCTTCCATCAGGCTGTTTTATTCATCTTCTTTTAACTATGCATGTATATGCATGTATGCATACACACATATTTACAGACATGTATATAAATATATATACACATATATGTATACACATGAGAATTATATGTATGTACAACATGTGTGTATATGTACATGTCTGTCTACATACAAGGATATACATATACTATGCATGTGGATGTATATATGTATGTTACATATACATGCATATACATATACATACACTTACATGTATAATTAGAAGAAGATGAATAAATCAGAAGGTGAATAAATAAAAGAAGATGAATAAAAATAAAAGATGAAAAAGATAGAATAATTTGCATTGCTGATCCTTTGGTATCCACTCCTAGTGGATGTATGTATGTATGTGCGTGTATATATAGTCTTGCAATCTTTCTCCCCCCAACCCACCCAGAATTACCTCTGAAAACAGCTGTGCAAAAAAACCCTGAAACTTGGGACAGTGCTCCCTCCACTTGGGAAGCAGAGCCCCACTTTAGCATACAGTTAAAAGTCAAGGAATAGGCTGGAAAATGAACAAACAACAGAAAAAAGTTCTGACCATAGAAAATTACTATGGTGAACAGGAAGATAAAAACACACAAAGTCAAATTCCTGCATGCAAAGCCTCAAAGACAAATATGGATTGGTCTCAGGCCATGGAAGAGCTCAAAAAGGATTTTAAAAATCAAGTAAAAGAGGTAGGGAAAAATGGGAAGAGAAATGAGAGTGATGCAAGAAAATCATGAAAAAAGACTCAATAGTTTAGTAAAGGAGACACAAAAAGTACTGAAGAAAATAACACTTTAAAAGACAGACTAGGCCAAATGTCAAAAGAGGCACAAAAATCCACTGCAGAGAAGAATACCTTGAAAAGCAGAGTTGTCCAAATGGAAAAGGAAGTACAAAAGCTCATTGAAGAAACAGTTGTGAATTAAATGTGATGTTATGATTATCTAAAAAAATAAAATTAAGGTATGAGAGAGAAGAATGCAGGGGAAAAAGAGAGGTAGAATTAGATAAATTATCTGACATAAAAGATGCCTGAAAGAGATTTTACAGTGGAGGGGGGAAATGGAGGAAGCAGGGAGAGGAGAACATGAATCTTTTCCTCATTGGACTTGGTTCAAAGATAGAATAACATACTCAGTCAGTTAGATGTAGAAATCTATCTTACCATACAGGAAAGTAGGAAGGGAAAGGAACAAGAGAAGCGGGGGAGGAGCTGATAGAAGGGAAGGCAGTTTGGGGAAGGTAAAAGTCAGAAGCAAAACACTTTTGAGAATGGACAGAGTAAAAGGAGAAAGACAGTAAGGTAAATGGGGAAAATAGGATGGAGGGAAATATGTATTTGCTAATCATTACTGTGAAAAAAATTTATAGTGAGTTTCTCTGATAAAGACTTCATTTCTCAAACATATAGAAAACTGAGTCAAATTTACAGAAATAAGAGCCATTCCACAATTGATAAAAGGTCAAATGATAGGAATAGGCAGGTTTCAGACAAGATAATCAAAGCTATCTATGGTCACATAAAAAATGCTTTAAATCACTATTGATGAGAGAAATGCAAATTAAAACAACTCTGAGCTACTACCTCACACCTGTCAGATGGTTAATATGAAAAGAGAAATGACAAATGATGGCAGGCATGTGGAAAAATTAAAACACTAATATAATATTGGCAAAGTTGTATACTGATTTAGCCATTCTGAAGACCAATCTGAAACTATGCCTAAAGGACTCTAAAACCATGCATACCCTTTGTCCAAGCAAAACTACTACTGGGTCTGTATCCCAAAGAAATAAAAAAACAAAAAGGAAAAGGACCTATGTGTACACAAATATTTATAGCAGTTCTTTTAGTGGTGACAAAGAATTAGAAACTGAGGGGATGCCCTTCAATAGAGGAATGGCTGAACAAGTTGTATATGATTGTGATGGAATACTACTGTGAGTAGGATGCTCTCAGAACATCATGGAAATTCTTACATGAACTGATGCAAAGTGAAATGAGCAGGACTATACCTAGTAACAGCAATATTGTACGATTATCTACTATGAATAACTTAGCTATTCTCAGCAATACAATTATCCAAGACAATTCTGTAGGACTTATGGTGAAAGGTGCTTCTTTCCACCTCCAGAGAAATAAATGGTAGAGCCTGAATGCAGATCAAAGATACTTTTTCTTTATTTTTCTTGGGTTTTTTGTCTGTGTTTTCATTCACAGAATTACTTATGTGGAAATGTGTTTTGCATGACTACACATGTATAACCTGTGTCAAATTGTTTGCCTTCTCAATGAGGAGGTGGGGAAAGAATTTGGAACTCAAAATTTGAAAAAAAAAAAGAATGTTAAAATTGTTTTATGTGTAATCAGGGAAAAATAAAATATTAAGTAAGATTTTTTTAAAAAAGCTGAGACAGGGTAAAATATTCAGGAGGAAAGACTAACCTACTCTGCTTTTGGGGGGAGGTGTTCCTTGACCAGTAATCTCTACAAAAAGAAAGAACAACAGAGCTTAAGGTATTTTTACACTATCTTGGAATCTACCTAAATAATTCTTAACAGCCTTCCAGATCTGTTTGTCAACCTAAATAACAATACAGTGCAATATTTTGAATGTTCAGTTTTGCCTCATCTTTTCATCCTCCCTCACAATGCTTCCTTTTTTTTTACACTCCCATAGACTTGAAACTATTCACTCCCTTTCTTCCCTGAACAGTAGACTTCTAAAGAAAGAGAGACCATTCAGCATGCTTAACCAAATCTTCTGTAAGAAGAAAGAAGAGCAGAGAGCCAATGAGAAAGACCACAGTCAAGATAGGTACTCAGGAGAAGATGCTTCGGAAGTTGATGACATCATCACTACCTTTGACTGCATTGTGGATACCAACTGCCAAGAGCTACCGGATCAGAGAATGGTAATGGTGGACTTGAGAAAAAGGTCCACAGAAACATCAAAGTATCTCTCATCAGAAAAGAAGCAGCAGGAGCATAAGGGACTTCCACCAATCAGAACACAGAGTCTGCCACCCATCACTCCAGGCACCTCTTTTCTAACAGCCTCCCAGATGGCTACTTCCCATGGTGTCCCGGGTTCCAATGCTCACCGTTCTGTATGTAAATCTCAAAAAAGTAGAAGTGAGCATGACCTATTGGATCACAGGACTGGCTGTCAGGCATTGGTAGATAATCCTTGGCGATCTGACTCTAATCAACTCTTCTCCTATAAAGCTTGGACTGTATCTACTTCAGGTAAGCTGCCAGATGGATTGCTGGCTGGAAGACCAAGCCACGTGGAGTTCTTGGGACCTGTACAACCTCTAGCCCGACATAATCGTACATCAGGTAATAGTTTTATGTCATCTTTCTTTATTTTCTATACTTGGTAAATTCACTATTGATCATATCCCATCAGCATGTTGCTAAGAGAGTAACGGAACTAAAATTAGAGTGGGGTTATACCAGGTTAGGGAAATGGGACCCTAAGAGGAATATGACCCCTTCTGAGTGCCTCCAGAGCCTCCCTTTCTTCCAAGTGAAATCCCAAACTGCCTCATAAAAAAAGCTTCAGAGTATTCTTCTCTTCTACCACAAAGACAGATCAATAAGTAAATGCCTCCTTATGCTATGGGCATATATGGGGAGGATGTCAGAGACCAAAATAACAGCTTTCTCAATCAGACTTGTACAAGAACAGGAACAACAATAGTATAGTCCCATTCATAGGTAGTTCACAAAAAATGTATTTTGACTTTTTTCTGGTGGCTGAGGGTCACTGACTGGGCTGCCTCCAGATGGTGTTGTTCCTCTAATGGCCCATGAAACAACCTGCAATTTTCCAAAAGGATAGGGAAGAGTGAACAACAAAGGCCAATATCACCTAGACACTCTGCTAAGTTCCCAGTCATCCTGGTGATTAGCCCCATCTGTATTATGGAGGTAGTTCTACCCCGACCAGGTTCATAACTTTTCTCTATTTCTACTTATCTAAGCCTGCTACTTTCATGTCCAAAACTATATCAAACTTTTGTTTTCCTTTCTTCATATAACTTCATAAAAAAGGAAGAGAAGTATAATTTGTTTAGGCTTTGTTCATTTACTGACACACTCTGCATTCTTAGGAAATTAAAGTATCTTATCCCCTCAGTTCTTATAGTATGAAAGATACCCTTTTTTGCACGGTCAGATCTATTATTGCTGATGTTTCTGTTTCATGATGAATGATTATAGCACATGTTTCAAGCATCAATGAAGATTTAATTCTTCATCCAATATAATAGTGATTTCCAAGGTTTTTAGAGTTTGTCTTGACTATTTGTCTATTTGTCTTGACTATCTCATCTCAAACACATGCTCGAATGGACGTGCACGCGTACACACACACTCACACACAGAGGCTCTCCTAAAATTGCTAAAATATATGTATTTCTTTTAACTGAAAGTGAATCAAAACTAACTTTGTTTTGCTATTTTGGAGGGACTGCTACTTGCAATAATTAGAGATCTGCTGGGGTAGCACAAAACTAGATTAGAAATTATTGAAATAGATCCAACAGAGGTAACACCTTGAAGTCTTACATGGAAATTTGTTGCCTCATCAAAGGCATGTGAATCAAGCCCTAAATGGGGAGAAGGTAAGCCTCCCAGGAGTCCTTAGGCTATAAATGGGAGCCTTAAAGATAACGTTTTAGGTAACTCACTATCTTGTGTTCAGTCACCAAAATCACAAGAACTCAGAGCTGGAACTATTGCTTTTATCTAGTCCAATCTCCTCATTATACAATTAAAGAAATTGAGGCCTAGAGAAGTGATTTTCCCAAGAGAATACAACTAGTTAATAGTAAAACCAGGTCTCCTGACTTCCCAGCCCCATATTTTTCTACTTGACCAGGCTACTTTGACTGAACACCTATAATAAGCAAAGTGACAATGCTACTTCCTCACTGCCAGATCTTCAAGTCATTGTGGTGGGAATGGTCATCCATCAGTGAGCATTTGACTTGACTACAAACTGTATTACATTTTTAGATACCTTGATAGTTATATGATATAATCACTCTACCTCCATTGCTAAAGTCTCGAGCCCTTCTATCTTTCCATATGTGATGCAGTGGGCAAAGTGCTAGACTTGGAACCAGGGAGATCTAAGTTTAAATCCAACATCTGATGCTAGCTGTGTGACCATGAGCAAATTACTTAGTCTTTATGAACCTCAGTTTTCTCATCTATAAAATGAAAATAAAAATACCTGTAGTACCTCGCCTCATAACATTGTTAAAATGCTCAAATTAGATAATGTATATAAAGTCTTTTCAAACTCTAAAAGATAAGACAAATGTCATCTATTTCTATCCTGTATAGTTTTTGTCCTTTTTTTTTTCTGTAAATGCTTGACCATGATGGTTATCCTACAAACACACTAGAGGCCACTTCTCTTTTCATCTTCTATGTGGCACTCTATTGTTTTCACTATTTCAAGTTGGTTGATTTTCTTTTCTTGATTTTCTTGGATTGCTCTTATCTATTTTTTCCTCAATCTCTCTTATTTGATTTTTAAAGTCTTTTTTAATTTCTTCCAGGAACTCTTTTTATGCTTGAGATCATTGATGTTTCTCATTTTAAAAGCAGTGGATTTTTTAGCTCCATTATCTTCCTCTGAATATGAACCCAGATCTTCTCTATCCCCATAGTAACTATCTATTGTTGGGTTCTTTCTCCTTTGCTTACTAATTTTTATTTATTTTTTTAATTTTGTTTTTAGCAGCTATTAGTATGATCAAGTTGTAGCCCCTAGATATGGGGAATGATGCCCCAAGTCTCAGATCCTTCTTACTGTTATTTTCTGAGGTCTGTTTCAGGTCCCAGCCTTGGGCTCTCCTCTCCACTCAGCCACAGCCAGGGCCCCCAGCCACACTGTCCCACAAATGATCTTGCTCCCTGGGGTCACTCCAGTGGCTGCAAACTACAGCTGTCCTCTCTGCCCCTGAACTGAAAGCAGGGACTCTGCTCTCCTGCAAGTGCCCACAGCCAACAGAGTCACTGCTCTTCACTACTGCACTCACCAGGTGTGTGCTAGCTCCTTCTCCCTAAAGCCGGGATGCATCTGGTCAGCTCAGCTGTGCTTGGCATCCATTGACAGGGGAAGGTCCTTCAGTCTTCTCCTCCTCAGTCATCAGACCCCTGCAGTGTTTTGGAGATGAAAGTTTCTAAGGCTGAGGCTGCCTCTCACCCCCAGCTGCCTCCAAGGCTTATTTGTTGATTTTGCAGAGTCTGCTGGGCATCGAGGCAGAACCTAAACCCTTGGAGATCTGGTCTTTCCTGGGGTCTTCTCAAATTGTCTTGGGAGGACAACTGCCTTACCCTGTGTTTATTGCTGCTGCTCTGAGGCAATGTTCTGTCTTTTTGTGGAGGAAATCTGGAGAGGCAAAACTTTTCTGACCTACTCCACCATCTTCCCAGAATCCTCTCACTCCATGACAGTTTGATTATCTTCCTTCCCTGTCCCACGTATCCTTTACATCACTTATCTCAAGCAAGCTTTTATTGGTAATCTGCTCCAGGTTGGTAATATGCACCATTTTCTCCAAGGTATCTTGTAATTTTGATTTACCCAAAGCCATAGTACTCCTTGATTGACAACAATAATACAGTTTTGTGGTAAACTGCATCATCTTCACTAATACAGAACCCCTTATTCTCCTCTACTTACACAGATCTGATGAGGAATTTTTATCCCAATAAGACATCTTGGTATTGAGATTACTGAGGAATGTGGAAGGAATTCCAACAGAGTCCTTTCCAGCGTTTCAGCTATGATCACAGAAATAAAATCCCAGCACATTTCTAAGCAGGATTTCTGTATTAGAGACAAAGGCTTGCTATGGTAAAGCAATTGGATAATTTAAATAATACCGCTATCCCACTGGCACAAATTTTGATAACCACTTTCTTTTGGATTTTCTCCACTCCTGCATTGGGTTCAGTAGATAATAACAGGGATGGGCCGGGTTATTGCTTGAATTCCTGGCAAGTGCTGCACTTTGCTTACATCAGCAACCCAGACTGTTAGCCTTAATGACTATTGTTTAACTGTTACCCAGAATTGACAAAGTGGACTAGGGCTGAGGAAAAGGGGAGGGGGGCTGGGGCACTTATCTTAATGAGTTGGAATATATGATCATGTCACCATAATTCTTTTTGACTGATGCTTTTAAAGAAGATGAATGAGAGAAACAGCCTATTCTAATAGTCATAAAATAGCCCTTTCTGTGGGCTACGCCTCAAATGCAAGAAAATGCTCACTTTACTTTATCTCTCCCCAAAATAGCCCCCACCCACTCACACAATCAGGAAACTCTCGTGAAACTTCTTTCTCAAAAACTTTTCAACAGATCCTTCATCCACTCTAAGCACTTTCATCAAACTAAGACCTTTCTTTCTACTTGCTGCACATGTGACTCTGATTTGTGATTTCATGTAGCACTGTACCAGAGCCAAAAACTTTTTCCCTTTGTTGCCCATTTTCTTCCCTTCCTGTCCTTTCCCTTTTACATATCCTAAATATTCACACTCCCAGGGACCCAGCCAAGGTGTATTCCTTGTTGATCCTTGCTAAAAATGTCACAAATAAAATGTTAGCTGATAAGGGCTAGGACCTTCCCCAGAGGTCTTCGTGTTTTATTTTGTTTTATTTTTAATTGAAGACCAAAACAGTTTAAGAATCAAAGAAAGTATACAATAATGTTTAAATGATACACAATGTTTCGGATACTGCAGAGGTAAGAATCATTGCTCAGGCCCACTTCCAATCATATCACATAGGAAGCCACGTTGGCAGTCTGTAGATGGACCCAGATAACCTGCCATGGCATTCTTTTTTTTTTAATTTTTTTGGTCACATTTCAGTTGCAAGCTGTTTTCCTTTGCTATAGCATTCTTACATAAACCTGGCAACCCAATGCTTTGATCTGTAAGTCAGCTAGCCAGTGTAGAGTGGGAAAGGCAATAGGGTATAATAGAAACAGCATTGGATTTGCATTTTAGTCCTGGTTCTGCAACTGTTTATCTGGGTGACCTTGGTGAAATCACTTCCCTCCACCTGCAAATTTAGGTAGTTGGACCAGGAAGAAGTTCTCTAGAGTCCCTTCCAGCTCTTATATTCTATGACTCTGCAGTTCTTCTGCCAAAAGGAAACTAAAAGAGAAAATATGCTTTGTTTAGCCTTGTGATTCCCTTGCAAATTCTATTTGATCATAGTGGAAAACCCTAAAAGTCCATCCAGGTTGTAGTTGTGGTTTGAATTCCTCCTTAGCCACTAGACCACTAGCCAAAGGAATGTACCAATA